AGCGCGGCAGCTGTTGAACAGCATGGAGCTGCGCTGCACAGGCAGGGACGGGCAGGAAGTGGAAGCGGCTCCTGCAGCTGCTGGGACCGCGCAGGAGAGCTGTACTCACGCCACCGCATGCCGGGGCCTTATCACATCCCCCAGCACGCTCACGGCTCCCTTCTGACACGCGAGAAGCCCATGTGGCAGGTTGCATGTGACGGCACCGATGTGACACGCGGCGGCTGGGGAGGGGCGAGCTCCCCTGCGGGACCAGGGGGAGAAGAGCTGTCCTTGGCCGCAGCAGAGCATCGCGCCTTCCTGCCCTCTCCAGCAGCACCTACACCCAGCGCAAGGACCCGCAGCGCTGCAGGTCTGGCCGGCGGCAGTGCAGGTCCAAGTTGTGGCATCGCGGGTCTGGATTGTGGCACTGCACGCTCAAGCCACGGCATTGCACACCCGAACCACGGCATTGCACATCTGAGCTACGGCACTGCACACCTGAACCACGGCATTGCATATCTGAGCTACGGCATTGCACACCCAAACCACGGCATTGCACGTCTGAGCCATGGCACTGCGTGTTCAAACCACGGCATTGCACGTCCAAACCACAGCACTGCACACCCGAGCCATGGCACTGCGTGTTCAAACCACGGCATTGCACGTCCAAACCACAGCACTGCACACCCGAGCCATGGCACTGCGTGTTCAAACCACAGCACTGCACACTCAAACCACGGCATTGCACGTCCAAACCACGGCATTGCACACCCGAGCCATGGCACTGCGTGTTCAAACCACAGCACTGCACACTCAAACCACGGCATTGCACAACCACGCTTTGGTGTCGCAGGTCCAGCCACGGCGCCGCACACCCGCCTCAAGCCGCTGCTGCCGCCAAGCCGGGTGCTGCAGCGGATCAGCCCCGGCGGGTGGGAGATGGAGGCTGCGCCGTGGGGCAGAGGCAGCGAGGGCGGACCTTTAGGGAAGAGACGCTGATGGATGCCCCGGCTCAGGGCGAGGGACCGGCCGTCCCGGTGTCCCGGCTGTTGTGTTTAAGCGCTACCCGCGCAGAGCGAGCCGGGCGCACTGCAGACCTCGCTTCAGCTCCAGCTTGGGGTTATCCTCCCTATCCACCCTCCCTCGTGGGTGGGAAATGTCCCCAGGGCTGGGGCTCGCTACCTGCGGCGCTGGCGTGCGGGGGCTTGGCTCACGTCCTGGGGAGCGCGCTGTGGCCTCTGTCACGCCAGAGCCACAATTATTTTTCTGAGAAATGACACAAGCCCCTCCCTTCCCCGCTGCCCCGACTGTCTGAGCGGCCCGAGGAGCTTCACGCTGTGAGGACGCCCGGGTGCCTTCGCAGGGACACTTGGCTGCGTGCCCTGCGGACCCCTGATAAAAATGTCACGTTTGCTGCGGTGGATGGGAGATAACCGACGCTGCTCCCCCACCACCCCTCGACCAGGATCTTCCCCTTTGAAAAGGACAAATATAACCGAGATGAGTCAGTTCCTCCGAGCTCCCATCCCCTGTACAATATGTAACTGGAATTTTTCATTTCGGCACTGCAGGGGAGGCATAACTGGAGAAGACAATGGAGTCAGCTACGACCCAAAAAAGCAGTGCCAATTCTGTGCGCATGAGAAATAAAAACATTTTTTAATCTAAAAATAAATTAACTCTAAGTGACAGCAAGAGCGGATCTGCATGTACTCACTGTCAGCCCGCACAGGACCAGTCCCTGCTCCTTGGCGCAAGGCGGGTTTGGGTGAATTCCCTGCTCTTTTGGGCCAGGTTGGGATTTGCAGCAGTACCACTGAGCCAGGGAGGCACTCGGCACCTGCACCAGGAACTGGGCTCCCTGAGTTGGCATCGGACCCAGAAGCAAATCCACAGAAGCCAGGGAAACCTCTTGGGTTTATTTTATAACTGCATTACGGCAGTGAGAAGGGAAAAGAGGCTCCACCAAGCTCAGGGCTTGGCTGGGCCAAGAAACTGCACAAACCTATAAAAACCATCCAGCTTCCCGTGATTAAATAAAAGGGTAGCGAGTACGCAAGCGGCCGATGGCCTCATTCTGCAGCTGCGCTGCGGCCACCCCCATGTCACGGAGCAGAGCAGATATCTGGGGCAGCCTCTGCCCAGAGCCCACCCCCCCCCCCTGCCACTCGCCCCTCTGCTTGCTCCTAACTTGCGTTCGGAGGAGGCAAGGAGTGACCGAGTGCTCGGGTGTCACAGGAGATTGTCTGGATGCTCCAGAAAATAAAAGGCGGGACACGGCCAGGGTTGCTGCTGCAGTGGCGGTAAGATGTTTCTCTCAGCTTCCCTTTGCTCCCGTCGTGCACTGATCACCTTCGCCAAAAACCCTTTCCATGGGGCCACCTACGCAGGGCGGGGGTGGCCGGCCCCCCCGGTCCGCCGCGCGGGCGGGGCGGATCGAAAGGGCTCACAGCCGGCGAGGGCAGGACCTAAGGGACAACCGCAGGGCGGAGGGGCCGGGAGCTCCAGACGGAGCAGAGAGATACGGGTAAAGCCGTGGCCCGAGCGCGTAACTCCGTTTTTGACAGCGCACTGCCCAATTTACCGTGCAACGACATCAACCGCTTCGCTGGCTGCTTCTTTCAGAAACCTCCCCTCTTCCAGCACCAGTGGTCTCTGTCCCCAGTGTGGTGGCAGCTCGCTCCACGCACATGGCGATCTGACGCCTCCCAGCCAAGCCATGAGGGTACGGACAAGGCAGGTGAGGGGGGACACCCAAAAACCAAACCATGTCGGGACAATCCTCTCCTTTTTCTTAAGACATTATTAACAGGGCTATATAAAAGCCTTCTGCCTCCCATTCTTTGCCCGTCTGCTCAGTTTTACAGCACTGGCTTCACTAGGTTGGGGTTTCTTTTTTTTTTCCTCTGACTCGACTCCTTGCTGGGTGACACTGTATTTGATATTTTTAATCACTCAGCATGCATCAGAATTTGGCAGCGGAAGAAAGTGAAGTTAAAAGAGAACAGAGATAGTTTGCGTTTGCCAGGGCTGCCTGCCATTGCCACAACCCCTCATCGCTTGTGCTGCATTTCCCTCTGCTGGAAAGTCACGAGCCGCAGCTGACAAGGTCAATTTAAAAAACATATCGTCGGCCGGCAGTTATTGACCTTCTGGGATTTGGATCGTTTCTTCAAAGAAAAACAAAAGTCCTGAACCCTTCTACCTTTACTGTACAAATATAAGGACATTACACATGCACACATATAGATGCATTTGTATGTGCATATCAATATTACTGACAAATCCTTATAAATCATCTACATCTGGCTTTGTAAGGCTGCAATATCCTGGCCACTGCAGCAATATTACGGAGATTTTGACTTTCTTTTCTCAGAAGTTGCAGCAAAACCTTTATCACTTTGTTTTCTGTGGGAGCTGCAACTTTCTCCCTGAGCAAACCTGTTGTGGGTAACCCGAGTGGTTCCTGGAGGGGCCGACTGGACAGATGGCACAGACAGAGGGATGCTGTCTCTTGGTTTCTCATCCTACGCCAGGCTCTACCCTGGACCTCGCCGGTGCTTCCAGGTGAGCTGAGGCACAGCAGAGTTCGTCTCGTTCACGTGCTGCTTCCTTACTCTCACGATAAAGTTTGCACCACCCCACTGATTCCTTGGTAGAAGAAAAAAAGGTTGATTAACAGCGTTTACTAAACCATGGAGTCACTTCAAGCCCGCAGCAGGTTGCCTGCCCAGACATTAGTGTCTGGAATACAGGGGTAGTTTAAAGATTGCTTTCCAGACAGCTCCGAGATGCGGTTGCAAGGCTTTAAATCTGCCTCCAAAGATAAAAAAGGAGAGTCATCGCTTTTCATCTGCTTCTCCTCCTTTCGTAACAGAAATTAAGCCCGTAAAGCCCAAACCACACGTCCAGAACGCTGACTCCAGGGTGCCGGAGAGCAACAGCGACCGGGGCTGCCGGCGAGGCCGGGGCCGCCTCAGAACAGCCCCTCGGGACCCCGGGCTCGTTTTAAATCGGGCGGCGGAAAGGGGAGACGACGACTGGAGGCCATCGCGGCAAACCCGGCTACCAGATGCTGGCGGGGAGCAGAGCTCGGACCCTCTCCAGCTCTAAGGGCGGGGGGGAAAGCCCCGCAGGCGCCG